ACCTCGCTGCTGTAAGTAGCCTCACGTTGTCTAATAATATTTTTTTTTCTTTTTCGGTTCCGTCATTTTTTTGTAAAATTTGCTGTATTTTCGTTGATCGCTAAGAACGAACCACCGAGGAGATGGAAAGAAAAAAAAAAAAGGTAAACGGGAAAAAGAATCGAGCCAGAAGAATCGTGTCAAGAGCCGAACTGCAGGAGCCCGCGGAGAGAGGGTTAGGGTTATGGAGGTTTGATTCGGAGAACCAAAGCCAATGTGTGAGGGGAATGTGGACTGCGAGACCCCTTGCGTTGGGGGGGGTGTTTTTTTGGGTACAAGATATGGTGCAGCAAAATGAGCAAGAAAAAAACGAGATAGAGCGGAAGAAGGAGGCACAGAGGAAGAAAACGCTCAAAGAGATTTGGGTGGGGTGGTGTGAAATCCCTCAGTTCGACGTCGTTTTGCTTCTACACGAGCGCGACGGCGGCGGCGACGGCGGCCGCGCCGGCGACAAGCGCAGCGACGAGCGGGGCGTCGCGCGAGAAGCGCGGCGGCACGGCGGCGGCGCCGGCCAGCACGGGCGCGGTGGTCTTTGCGGCCATAGTGGTCGTGGTGGTCGTCGTCTTTGCCGTAGTAGTCGTCTTTGCCGCGGTCGTGGTGGCGCTCGGGGTTCCCGACGGCGCGCCCTTGGCCGAGGTGGTAGGCGTCCCCGTCGGGGTCGTGAGCGGGGTTCCGGTGCCGGAGCTCTTCATGGACGCAGAACCGGTGGGTGTGGTCATTTTCGCAGTGGTCATGCCGGGCATTGTCATTGTGGTGGTGGAGGTGGTGGTCTTTACCGAGGTGCTCTTTGCGCTGGTAGATTTGGCGCTTGAGGAACCGGAGCCGGTGGCTTTGGCGGTCATACTGGAGGTGGTGGTGTCTGCGGCGGCGCCGGCGCCGTAGCCTGGGGGAGCGTCGTAGTAAAAGTTGTTGCTGTCGGGAGCGGCTGCGAGTGCGAGTGCGGCGGCGGGGGCGGCGGGGGCGGCGAGGTCCACGGCGCCGTTGGCTGCAGCGGCGTTGTTCAAGTTTGTGCGCAGGGCGGTTGCGGGTACGAGCAGAGCGGCGAGGGAGAGGACGGCGAGAGAGCAGGAGAAGAAGGTTGCGTTGCTCGGTCGCCGTGCGGACCCGGCTGCGTTGTTAGCCGTGGTTGCGTCGGTGGTGGTGGTGGTGGTGGTGGCGGTGGTTGTGGTGTGGACAGCAGAGGAGCGGAGGCGGGCGGGCATGTTGTTCAACAGACTGCCTTGCTTGATTGATTGATTGTGGGTTCTTTTTTTTTTGGCTTGTTTTTTTTTTGTTTTTTTTTTTTTTTTTTTAGTTTTTCTTCTTCGTGTTTTGATTTTTTTTTTTTTTTTTCTCACGCTCTTTTGGGATTTGATTCATCGGCGAGGGCTTTTCTTGCAAGGAATATGCGAATCTGCCGCCAGGAAATCGACAGTAGCGAGAAGTAGAGAGAGACAAAGAGAAAAAAACCCGACGAAAAAGGAAACCAGTCCGTTGATTGATTGGTTTTTCGGTTTTCAAATGGAATTCATGGAAACTGTTCGCTCTTGTGCCTTTTCCCGATCGGGTTTGGGTTAGTTGTTGGAAGCCGCGCCCAATATGCCCAATTTCGGAGGTGTACACGACACACACACACGTCACACACAAAGGGCTTCTCTCTCTGTCCGTCTGTCGCTCTCTCTCTCTCTCTCTCTCTCTCTCTCTCTCTCTCTCTCTCTCTCTATCTCTCTGTCGCTCAGGGTTCCAAAGAAATAGAAACCTGACGAGGAAAAAAAAAAAAAAAAAAAATTCAACCAAACTGCGCATCTTTGGAGAGGCGAAAGGCTCGAGCGAGTGTTTGTATCATACGCCTGTGTGTGTGTGTGTGTGTGTGCCGCTAAGTCGATCCATCTTTTCAACCGTATCTTGAAGAATGCAGCATCATCACTCATTGAGAAAAGATTGGCTTTGCAGCGGACCGCTCGGAATGTCGGAGTGTTTCTGCGCCCAATGCTGTTGAACATCATTCAATACCTCAATTCAGTCTCCCAGACGGGGAATCGAACCCCGATCGCCGCCGTGAAAGGGCGGAATCTTAACCGTTAGACGATCTGGGACACGGCCAATTTCTCATTCAAGCACATCTCATCTAAGTTAATTGTGGATTGAGCGAGAGATGAGCGAAACCGTTTGGGAATCCGTTTGGCTGTGCCACCGAACTGGCCTTGGTGAGCGCACGGGCGCGCACGCGCCGCCGAACAGAACACCGGGACCGGAAGTTCATGTCTCGAGGCGTCCTCCGCACCGCCGCCGCAGTCGCCCTAGCAAGCGGCGCCATCGCTGCCGCCGGAACGCCGCCTGTCGCCCGCCGCTGACCGACTTATCCCGCGTCTGTGGCGGTCAATCATCCAGTCGTCCGACGAGGTGAGCTAACCCTCCCCTTCCCACGGTTGCCCTTATTTTCAAAACGGCCTCCCGCTAACCCGCTACTCCCAATGCCGAACCCCCAACCCCCAACAACAACCGCAACAACCAAAAAATACAAAGTCGACTCCCAAGACCTTCTCAAAGAGCCAGCGGTCGGCATCGCGCTCTTCCTCGCCGCAGTCCTGGTCTGCGGCGGCTGCATCCTCGGCGGGATCTGTCTCAGTAGCGCACTGCCGCCGCGTCGGCAGCCGCGGTGGGAGCTCCGGGAGCGCGGCCACCGGTGGGCTGCTCCGCACGCTGCTTCCGTGGGTCCGCCGCGGCGCAGGGAGCCCAGAATGTCGGCGGGGGCTGGAGCCTTGGCGGGGACCGGAGCGGTGTACTGGGACGATGCGGGGCGCGCATGCACAGGGGCAGGTCGCTGCCCTCTTACACACCGTGATCCGGGAGTTCTCGGCTTCCTTCGTTTTTTCACTCTCTTTGACCTCATTGATTGCTCGTCCATCCTCTTATCCGTCTCGTTAAAAAGCTCCGACACCGCCTAACTGCCGTGAACTGCTTTCTATTTATTGTCTTGCAAGACGTAACCTTTCAGGAAGTGACACGCAAAATAATGCGGGCCTCTGAAAATATCCATCGCGTTGAAACATCGTCCTACTAGCCCTGAATTCGTTTCAAACGTCAGGCCACCCTCGCAAGTGCCGTTCATTCCGCAGGCCTTGCAGTTTTCGAACAATTCATAAATATGATTCAGACCTCCACTGACGATGAAAGACGAATGTCCGGAATCGATTTACTGGGACGACAAGGGAGAAAGAAGATGAGAGACTAACGATCGAAATGAGAAGGAAGGAAGCTCTAACATTCGCAGGACGAAACGCAAAATCCTTCCACCCCCGGTCAACAAAAAACCCCGTCGGAGGGCAGTTACCCAGATCGAAAGATCGAGAACATCACAGTTGGCGAGTTCAGCCAGGTTCCCAGAGATCGATCTGGGTCCATCATGGATTGCCTGCTCCTCTTCGGACAGTAACAACGACAAAATGGCATAAGGACCTGCGCTTGCCTGAAGGCTTCACACCGCGTTGCCCCTGGTGAGGGTCGAACTCACGGCTTCGGACTTGCATGGCCTTGAATCCAAAGGCGCATAAGATCCACACGCTACCACTGCGTCACAAGGGCCCGCTGAGTTATTCACTAATGATCTATCTAGTTTACTTAAAAGGTTGAGGGCAAGATAGCGCTCGAACATCCGGTTGCCATGTGGGTTTATGCTGACAACGCAGCCATTCAGGGGCGACGGCCTTAAGTACAGTTTATGTTAGACAAGCATTCTGTGGCTGACACTGCAGGACGTCGAGGCTGACTTCAATAGTTTGCTGATGTTTCGTTGTGGTAAAGAGTATTTTAAGGAAGCAAGGGCTAATGTCGGCCATTATACAGATAGCATAACATAGAGGAGAGTGTAGATTTGGAGGATTAGGTAGATTATAACTAGGGATGAAATATTATGATAACCACTCTGTCTAAAACTCAGTAAACGACACAAACGGCAAATTCTTGACTAAAAAAAAAAAAAAAAAAGGGTGCGATGCGTTTTTGGAACGCACACTGAGACAGGTCAGCAATCCTCAGAGCTTCTAGAGTGCATTCTGGTTTATTTGAGGCCGCAGGCCTGACAGCTTAAACCATGGGCGGGTGCTGAAAGAACGCAATTTTTTCTTTGCAACAGCACCAAGGCCGCGCCACCGCCCTTTTCGCATTCAAAATTGGAATTATTTGACACGTTGAAGCCTGTGCCACACCAGAAAATTCAGATAGACCTGCCAAAAGGAAGAAATCTTCAGCACCAGCGAGGGTAAGCAGATAATTGATTTACCAGATTGGAAACATATTCATTGATAATGCCTTGAGAACAAAGAAATAGTGGGTAATAATGGGAGTCCAGTCCTTGCAGTTTCTTGACAAGTTTTCTTGGTTTTGCACATCAACTTCAAGTCACTTTATACCAGAGACTTTGGTGCTGCAGCGTACGAAGCTATTGGATTTGGCTCTGAATATTTCAAATCACCCTCCCTCTGGGGGAAGGGGTTTACAACACCTCCCAAAGCAAAGTCCTGTCTGAAGCAGTTTCCAACTTGTTCAGATAGGCAAAACAGGAACACTGGTCAACCTCCCTGCAGGAGTATAAATGGCAGAGTTTTCTTATTGAAAAAATACTCTCACTCCAATTTGCCAGTCTCTGTCCAAAACAAGCTCGTTTTACCCACTTGCCCTTGATCGCCTGCTATGCTCGCTCCCTTGTACAAGTTCTCAATTCAAGCCTCAGTTCCTCAACCCTTCAACCTTCTTGCAACGCCGCCCCCACTCACAACGTTGCCTTCCACACTGCAACTACAACAGTTCGCGTCTGTCTTCTAACCAGTCAGTTCCACCAAACAACCAGCAACAGTTGCCATGACACCGAGTCTTCTCGGCTGTTCCAGCATCTTGCCAGATTGAATTTTATGAAAGCCGAACACACAAATAGCTGTATTCTGGTGCAAATCGCCTTCGGCTGATGAGGAAAAAGTGCGAAATGCTCTGGGTGAGAGTCGAACTCACGACCTTCGGATGTCTCGGTTGAAGTACACTATGAGACCGACGCTTTAACCAACTAAGCCACCAGAGCTTGGGAGGATCCAAAAATTTTTATTAATTTAAAACTATCTTATTGATGTGTGAAGTATTCAGCTGTGGAAAAATGAAACTCAACTGAGCTTCAGCCTTTGCCAGCTGGAATGGGCGAAGTTAAGGCGCAATGCACCATTATGTTTACTAAAACCTTACTCTCAGCGTACCACCAAACCAGAAGTGTGTTAGGTTGATCTCAAAGTATCGGCGCAACAGAGAGCCAAGCCCCCGCCCTTTGCGAAGTGAGTGTCATGAGGTGTCTTGCCTGAGAGGACGTTCGTAACAAAAATAACGATAAAAGAATTTTTTTTTGCAACAGACAGACATCGATGTCTCTCCTTTCCAAAATTATTTTTTCTTGGTTTTATAATTTTTTTTTTCCTTTTTGATTTGGGCATAACTAAAAAAAAAAAAAGCCCAAGACTAACTCTTCCCCACAAATTTTTCTATCGCTCCCTCCCGCTTGCCCGCACCGCCCGCCCGCCAACTCAAATCAACTCCCCACCGTCGCCGCCAGCACACACACACACACACAGACACACACACACACACATACACACACGCATCGCGCGCCAATGCTGGACCAATCCACGCCCATCATCTTCTTCATCGTCTTTGCGTGCATCATCATCATCGCAGCCTGCATCCGGGCGGCTTCGCGGCAGCAGCGATCGACGGTGGTCGTGCAGCGGCGGTACGTGAATCAGCCGGTGCAGCCGACGACCGTCGTGGAGCGGCACGTCGTGGTGGTGGTCGCGGCGCCGGACGGGACGACGGGCGACGGCGCGTACCCCCTGCCGCCGTACCCGGGGACCAACGCCGCCACCACCGCCACCAGCGCGGCGAGGATCACAGTGCCGCAGCCGGCCGCACAGCCCGGGAGCGGGAACAACGGGACGCAGTACGAGCAGTACCTGACCAAGCTGACGTGATGTGATTCATGTCGCAAGTCGCAGTCGCATCGTATCCATACACTTAAACATAACAAAAGAGAAAAAAAAAATTTTTTCTTTTTTTTTTTTTCTTTTTACCTGTTTTGTTTCCTTTTTGTTGACATATTCCCATTACGTCAGAGCCATCGTGGGACCTCAGAAACTTGCGAAAAAATGCAAACAACCTCCTCCTGGTTTCCCTTTTTTTCTTTTTTTTCCCCTTGGTTCAATTCAAGCAATGAATGTCTTTCGTGGGCGACTCAAATATACGCCCATCTGTTTCAAATCGTGAGCATTCTGGGAGGACAGCGAGACAACGAGACGTACAACAGGAAGCAGAACTGGAGGCGGAAGTGAAAGTCGGGAGGACGGTAACGGAGCCTGAGAAGCAGGAAGATTGACACGCCCGGAAAAAAAAAAAAAGACTCGAAGCTGGATGGAAAAAAAAAAAAGAGAAAGTGGGAGGGAGGGTTTCTACTTTTTTTTTCCATCCTCTTCTATTCTCCGCTCCCCTAGCGACGCCTGGTACAGCAGGCATTCGCAATACAATTTCAATGCAGTTTGCGATCGAAGGCTTCACGTCGTCGAGCTGGCCTATGACTGCCGATCGCACCTGGTAGGCGACAAAGAGCGCCGTGCAAGCGATGGAATGAACGCAAAGAGCGGTATGAACAGTTTTGCACGGACCGGTTCGACGTTGCTGCAAAATTGTGAAACATCGTGTTGGAATTGAGCTTGAAAAATTCTTTGTTACTTATTCCTTTTTTTTTTTTTTTTTTTTTTTTGGGATCTGCAGGGTTGGCACTGATGACCTCAACGGAAAAATTAAAGTTGCACACACTATTTTCAGGGGGAAATTCTTACCAGGCCTCAAGTGGAGCAAACGCAGAGATATAAATGAAGATGGGGCTTTGAAAACCCTCATGGTTGTCAGGAACAGGGCAGGACAGGACAAGGCAGACAAGGAACTGAGAGGAGTGATGATTGTATTGGAAACAATAATTCACTTGAGGGATGGGACAGGTCCCCCATCCCCCTTTTATACCTTTTGAGAGTGTTCCTTGTCAAGACTCCAAGAAAGTTCCAGAAAGAGCAATTAGTAATACAATGATACCAATGATACCAATGACAACAAGACAAGTCAGGAAAGCAAAGAAGGTTCCAGAAGGTTCCACAAGGTTCCATGAAGGAATGTTCTAGAAGGTTCCAGAAGGTTCCAGAAGGTTCCATGAAGGAATGTTCTAGAAGGTTCCAGAGGTTTCCAGAGGGTGATTCATAACATCATCTCCCCCTTTTAGGCCTCTTCTGCAACTTGGTGGGGTACCTGGTCTTGAACTCGAGCAGAAGGTCTTGGCAGTGAGTGAGGTTTGACTCAGGCTCCCAGGTGTTGTCAGCATCTGAGTAACCTTTCCACTTAACAAGGAACTTGAGTGTTCTTCCAAACCACTTGGCATCCAAGATTTGTTCAACCTCAAATTCCTCTTCACCTTCTACCTCAACTGGAGGAGGAGGAGGAACAACTCTGCCTGGAATGGAATTGGCCACAAACTTCTCCAAAAGGCTGACATGGAAAACTGGGTGGATCTTCATGGATGCAGGGAGATCCAGCTTGAAGGTGACTGGATTGATTTGCTCCAAGATCTTGAAAGGTCCCAACTTGAGGTTGTCTAGCTTGGGACTTGGTCTTTTGGTCTGCAAGTTCTTCCTCAGAAGCCAAACTTGCTGACCCACAGCAAGGTCATGGTCCATTCTGTGAGTGTTGGCAAATCTTGAGGCATCTTCTTGGGCTTGCTTCAGGGTGGAGTCCAGGAAGGAGTTGATGATCTTGAGCTTATGTAAGTGTGAAGCCGCAGCAGGAGCTTGGACATTGGATAGGGTCTCTTGTCCCAGAAGATCTCCTCTTGGATTGAAGCCATAGGTTGCAAAGAAAGGAGATAGCTGGGTGCTTGAGTGGAGAGAATTGTTGAGAGCAAATTCTGCCAGTGGAAGGAGGGTGGGCCAATCATCCTGTTGATAGCTGACATAGCACCTCAAATACTGCTCCAGAGTCTGGTTTGTTCTTTCTGTTTGTCCATCAGTCTGAGGGTGATAAGCAGTTGACAGTTGAGACTTGATTCCAAGGGCTGCTGTGAGTGCTTTCCAAAATTGAGATCTGAACTGTGGTCCTCTGTCACTGACGATTGACTGAGGCAGCCCATGGAGCCTGAATATGTGCTGCAAAAACAGGTCTGCTGTTCCTTGTGCATCTATATTCTCAGTGCAGGGGATGAAATGGGCCAACTTTGTCCTTCTGCAGATGACAACAAGGATAGAGTCAAATCCATGGGATGGGGGCAGTTTCACAATGAAGTCCATGGATATTGATGACCAAGGGCTTATGGCAATTGGGAGGGGCTCCAGAAGTCCATAGGGCTTGTGTCTGCTGGATTTGTTTCTTTGACAGGTTTCACAGCTGCTGACATAGTTCTTGATGTACTTCCTCATGCCTGGCCAGTAGAAGTCTCTGGAAACAAGCTCATATGTCTTGTGCTCTCCTGGGTGTCCAGCTGTTGCTGCATCATGCCTTGTCTTGAGTATCTCAAGTTTTTCCTCTTCTTGGCTGATTTGAATCTTGTGAGGCTTGGGGTCCTTGGAAATAGCATGGGCCCACACACTGTCAGGAAGCAATGAAAGGTGTGTCTTGGATGGTGGGGTGAAACCATCTCCCCCTTCAGGTGCAAGGTCTGTTCTTCTTGACAGGGCATCAGCCACAGTGTTAAGGTGGCCAGGAGAATAGCACAGCTTAAAGTCATACTCAGAGAGCAGTTCAGCCCACCTGGCATGCCTCTGCTTGAGCAACCTCCTTGCCCTGAAGAAGGTGAGGTTCTTGTGATCAGAATAGACAGAGATGCCTTTAGAACCAGCCAAGTAGTGTCTCCAGAATTTGAATGCTTCCACAATTGCAAGCAACTCCTTGTCATGGACTGTGTAGTTACACTCAGCACTGTTCAGCTTCCTGGAGTAATATGCCACTGGATGCAGAGGAGCAGAGGGGTCCTGAGAGCTTGGCTGGGACAGAACAGCGCCAAGAGCATAGTCTGAGGCATCAGTTTCCAAGGTGAAGGGAAGCAAGGGATCCACATGCTTAAGGAGTGGTGCACTTGTGGTTGCTGTCTTAAGAGCTAGCCAGGCTTGCTCTGCTGCTGGGGTCCATTCAAACTTGGTGGTCTTCTTGGTGAGATCAGTGAGAGGTTTGGCTATGGCAGAATAGTTGGCAATGAAGGTTCTGTAGAAGTTGCAAAATCCAAGGAAGCTTTGAACATCCTTGATGGAATTTGGAGCCTTCCATTCAAGAATAGTTTGGATCTTGTCTGGTGCCATGGAGATCCCTTTGTCAGACACAATGAACCCCAAAAACTCAATGGAGGTCTTGTGGAATTCACACTTCTCCAGCTTTGCATAGAGGTGATGCTGTCTGAGTCTCTCCAAGACAGTCTTGACATGTCCCATATGGCTTGCAGTGTCAGATGAAAATACCAGGATATCATCCAGGTAGACAATGACAAAAAGGTCCAGAATATCCCTGAAGATGTCATTCATCATGCCTTGGAAAATAGCTGGAGCATTGGTAAGTCCAAAGGGCATAACCAAGTACTCAAAGTGACCGTATTTGCATCTGAAGGCAGTCTTCCATTGATCCTGGGGCTTAATTCTGACCAAATTGTAGGCACCTCTGAGGTCAATCTTGGAAAATATCCTTGCATGGCTCAGTTTGTCCAGTAATTCAGAGATGAGAGGCAGTGGATAGCGGTTCTTGACTGTCATCTCATTGAGATCTCTGTAGTCCACGCAGGGTCTCAGCCCCCCATCCTTCTTCTTGACAAAAAAGATGGGAGCTCCAGCTGGTGACTTGGAAGGTTGGATGAATCCCTTGTTCAGCATTTCTTCAATGTATTCTTGGAGGGCCTTGGCTTCTGGTGGAGAGAGGTGGTACAGTGGCTTGAAAGGTGGGCTGCAAGTTTCATCCTTGAGTGGGATTTCACAGTCATAAGGCCTCTGAGCTGGTAGCAGGTCTGCCTTGGTCTTG